AGAGCCGGCTCTCCACTATAAGGGGCCACATCCTCGAGGGCATTAAGCTTCAGCAACCTAGAGGTAGAAAAGCAATTTAATAAGTCAATCTTGTCTCTATCTCCATTTAAAGATTGTTCCACTGGCGGTTCCTCACTGTCTTGGCATGTCTCCAGAATCCGGAATGAGTTATAAGAGGAGGGGATGAAAGGAGGGGCTGTTGGGGAAAGTGGGCGGGGAGGTTCAGATTGAGTTCCTCTTACCCTAGAAGCCGGGAATCCTGGAGCTATCTGTGTTAGTGCTTTCCCTCAAAGTGATCTCTCCCTGGCGGAAAAGGGTGTGTCAGTGTTAGCATTGTAAAATTCAGCATGTGAGAGAGGCCCAATGTCCATTGCAAGCAAACTTTTTGAGCAAGTGTCTTGGTCAAAAATCATAGGGTCATAACTACATAGCCCTGGGAATTCACCATCGCAAGGTTTAGGAAGATTGGGGGTTTCACTTTCCCAACAGAGCAAGGATGTGGTTAAAGAGATATCCAGGTTGTATGGCTTGTGAACACTAGGGAGCCATTCTCCCCGACTGGTTGCGTAATCCCGGGATTCTGCTGTAAACAGGTTTCCGTAGGTGTTCTGCTGGTCTGCAAACTGGAAAGTCCTTGGAGTGACACTGGATTTTTGCTGGTCTGTTGTGCTGATGTTCTGCCGCGGGTGTAGTGGAGATCGGCTGTTCTCTTCATTCCCAGTTGGAAGGTCCTTGGATGGCTTGGTACTAATGTTCTGCTTCGCCGAGCTACTGCTATAGAAAGATTGAAGGTTGGAGATGAATTTCCTTAACAAAAGGTTATTCTTACCTCTTGGCAATGAGATTGACCGAGTGCCCTCCATTCTGGATTCAGAGATACTTATGAAATCAGATTCCCTACCCACTTTCAAAGTCCTCTTCTCAGTAATTCTTGAGAAAACCCAACATGGTTCAAAAGAGATTTTTAAGAGGCATTCCACCAACCAACTAAGTAAATCAGAGTTAAGCCAAATAATGCAATTTCTCTTTCCTTCAACAGAGACACAGTAAGTTTGATTGTAAAAGGAATGGAAGAGAGTAAAAGTGTCATGACCTAGGGTGAGAGACGCCTGAAGATTGGCCGTCTGCTGGGAATTCGTACGGTATTCCAGAAGGTTGCTGTGATGAAGTCTGAAGGTCTAGAGGTACCGTCAAATCTCTGATTGGTGCTTGTGTTTTTTTCGCCAATATGTTGATAGGGTTCCCGGATTGGGCTCCTCCATCCTTGAATTGAGCGCCGACCTGAGCTTCTAAGCCGATTGGCACCTCGGATTGGGAGCCAATAGTCATCTCTGTTAGGCGATGAATTCTTACCTCCGTTAGACGATAAACCCGGATCGAAAGGGTGAGTCCGGTAGCGGCTTCGTACGTTCAGATACAGATCCGGGGAGGCTCTTCGAAATCCATCTGAGATTCTTCGGTGTGATGATTGTCGTTGAGAGGGAGCTAATCGGAAGGAATAGCGATTTGGTCGGTGGCGATAGTCGCCCCTCGCCCCTCTCTCTCTGGGAAAATCCATTGATCATATATATATATATATATATATATATATATATATATATATATATTTCAATGGGAAGGAACACAATTTCCATCAAATAGTTTCCTGTGCTTGTTACAACAGTTTGCAAGGAAAAAATAGGACCAACCCTCAAGTCAAGACTGAGATGCTGCATATATATATATATATATATATATATATATATATATATATATATATATATATATATATATATATATATATATATATATATATATATATATATATATATATACGGTAAATATAAAATATTTTATTTTCTGGAATTTAGAAAATCAAATTTCTTACATTCTGGAAATTTAAAGTATTTTATGATTTTTAATTAAATTACTTGCTAGTTTAATTAATTTATTGTTGATAGTTTATTCCGTAGAATAGAATAAACTAGGTCTGGGGCGAGCGCGGTTCGCCCGGTGTATGCTTTAATATGTATGATGTGATGCATGCGATGCTTGTATGTATTATTGCATGGTGGATGATTGTGGCTTAGTTATATTTGTTATAATTTTAAATACGGCCTGCGTGTCGTGCCTCATCTCTATACACTGGATGTAATTCTCTTCTTTACCTCAATATTCTTTTCTCTCGAAAATTAGAAACAAAACAAGACGAAGTCTGTTCGTGATGGAGAATCCTAAGGAAGACGTGATGGGCTGGAGATAGAGATCTCTTGATCAAGGTGCTGTCGTTTGTTTTTCTTTAGGAGCCACAATCATTTCAAGTTTACTTATTATGCATGTGATGTATGATTGAATGTATGCATGTATGAGTTTTTCGCTAGTGCATGCGCGCGGTGTATGCCATAGGCAAGACTGCGTAATAAATCCCTCAGAATTTTAAGTCTGTGCCACCCCGACGCCCTGTCACTCGTCAAACCCAATTTAGATCGGTAACGGACTCACCCAAGTGAGACGCCCGGTTTACGTTGGTTAGGCGCGAAACCCGTAACTAGGGTACTGACTCGCCCCGGGTTAGTCTTAACTAAGTCTTGGTCATATGGATGAGAGACTTAGGGCACTACGGTAGGATCAATAAATAAAATCAGATCATCCAACCAGAGTTGTAACTTGTTACAATTGGAGTTTATTCCTACCAGAGATAATTTAACTGTAGGGCAAGATGCAAAGCACAACTATAGTTAAATGAAATATGGATCTGGCCCAATTAAGAATTTTATTTAAAAGAATCCACCGAACCAAGAGTTGTAATAACGATTACAATTGGAATGAATTCCTACCTAAATAACTTGACTGTAGGGCAAGATGCAAAGCACAACTATAGTTAAGTAAAATATGGATCTTGGCCCGCTAGGGTATTCTTCTCACGAAGAAACCCCAAGTTAATAAGTTCCGTACCTGAGGGTAATTGACTTGTTAGAAATAGTGGGAGAGTATTTAATAAAGACCTATTAGATACTTAATTCATGATAATAACTATCTTCGCAAAATTCTGTAGATGGCAAACAACAACACAAACAACCTCGCCCTGCGTTCCATTCTGGATAAAGATAAATTGAACGGAACAAACTTTGTTGACTGGAAACGCAATCTCACCATTGTTCTCCGCATGGATGAGAAAGAGTATGTGCTCGAAAAGCCCATTCCTCCTGCCCCTCCTGCTAACGCCCCGAAAGCGGTCAAAGATGCCTACGAGAAACATGTTAAGGATGACAACCAGGTTAGCTGTGTCATGCTGGCTACCATGATAACCGAGCTGCAAAAACAGCACGAGGACATGAAGGCCCACGATATGATCGTGGCCTTGCGGCAGCTATACCAGGGGCAATCCAGGCATGAACGTTTTCTCGTGAGTAAGGCTCTCTTTAGTTGCAAGCTCTCTTCAGGGAACCCGGTCGGTCCGCACGTTCTCAAAATGATTGGTTACATAACCAATCTAGAGAAACTCGGGTTCTCCTTGCAGAAGGAGCTGGCAAAGGACCTGATCCTGCAGTCGCTCCCTGAGCTGTATAAGGGTTTTGTCATGAACTACATGATGCATGATCTTGACAAACCCCTTCCGGAGCTTCTTAAAATTCTCCAGACTGCAGAGGAGAACCTTACTAAGGGCAAGGGTGCTTCCGTCCTTATGGTCCAAGGCGGAAAGGGGAAGCCGAAGAAGGGGATTAAGATTAAGGCTAGGACGGTCGGAAAGCCTAAATCGAAGTCCACTTCATCTGCAACCCAGAAACCCGTAGGAGGAGTTGCAAAGGGCAAATGTCATCACTGTGGTAAGGCAGGCCACTGGAGGAGAAATTGCAAGACATACCTCGCAACCAAGAAGAAGGAAGGTACGACCATTTCTTCTGAGGTGTATGTTATAGAAGTTAACATGTCTATATCTTCATCATGGGTACTAGATACTGGATGTGGGTCTCATATCTGTACTACCATGCAGGGACTGAAGCAGAGTAGACGGTTAGCTCGAGGCGAGATTGAACTCCGAGTCAGCAATGGTGCACCTGTTGCAGCTTTGGCAATCGGAACTTATAGTTTAGTCTTGCCTAGTGGTCTTATGTTGGAATTAAACGACTGTTTGTACGTTCCTGCAATTAGCAGAAACATTATTTCTGTTTCATGTCTTGATAAGAGTGGTTTCATCATTTCTATTAAAGACAAGTCCCTTTCCATTTACAGAAAGAATGTTTTCTATGCTAATGCCAACATGACCAATGGGTTATATGTCCTTGACTTGGACATGCCTGTCTATAACATATCAGCCAAGAGGAACAAACCAAACGGTTTGAACCAAACATACCTATGGCATTGTAGGTTAGGCCATATAAACAAGAAACGCATATCCAAGCTACATCGGTCGGGAATGCTGGATTCATTTGATCTTGAATCATATGACACATGTGAATCTTGTTTATTGGGTAAGATGACCAAATCTCCTTTCACCGGACACGGTGAAAGAGCAGGTGATCTTCTGGCACTCATTCATAGTGATGTGTGCGGGCCTTTCAATACAACTGCACGAGGTGGTTATTCATACTTCATTACATTTACTGATGACCTCAGTAGATATGGCTATGTGTATCTCATGAAACACAAGTCAGAATCCTTTGAAATGTTCAAAGAATTCAGGAATGAAGTTGAAAAACAACTTCGCAAAAGTATTAAAACACTACAATCCGATCGAGGTGGAGAATACTTAAGTGGTGAGTTCGATGACTGTCTTAGAGAGTATGGGAATTTATCCCAACTCACACCTCCTGGGACTCCAAAATGGAATGGTGTCTCTGAAAGGAGGAATCGAACCCTGCTTGACATGGTTCGTTCTATGATGGGTCATTCGACTCTACCAGAATCATTCTGGGGGTATGCACTGAGCACTGCAATATATACTCTTAATTGAGTTCCAACCAAGGCGGTTGAAGGAACACCATACCAGCTATGGACGGGCAAATGCCCGGTTCTGTCACACTTAAAGATTTGGGGCTGTGAGGCTTATGTCAAACGTCTTATGACGAATGGCAAGCTTGACGCCAAGTTTGATAAGTGTTTCTTCGTGGGATACCCAAAGGAAACTCGAGGGTATTCATTCTATCACCCTATCGATAAGAAGGTATTCGTTGCTCGCAATGTTGTCTTCCTCGAGAAGGAATTTCTCTCCAACGCAACTAGTGGCAGAAAGATAGAGCTCGAAGAAATTCGAGACGACGAAGAAACTACCGCGCCGGTTCAGGAACATGAGCTAGAGGAACAAACTGTTGTACCTCAAAATGCTCAAGATACACAAGAACCCCGTAGGTCTAACCGGTTACGCACATAACCTGAAAGGTATGGATTCCTCCTAACCTTTGAGGGTGACGTAATGCTTATCGACCAGGATGAGCCGGAGACCTACCTCGAGGCAATCAGTTGTCCCGAGGCTGAGGAATGGCGTCAAGCCATGCAGTCCGAAATGGATTCCATGTACACCAACCAAGTATGGACTTTGGTTGACGCACCCGAAGGGATCAAACCCATTGGGTGCAAATGGGTCTTCAAAAAGAAGACTGACATGGATGGTAAGGTACAAACCTTCAAGGCACGATTGGTAGCAAAAGGATATCGTCAAATACATGGTATCGACTATGACGAAACTTTTTCTCCAGTTGTCATGATTAAATCCATTCGGATCTTACTTGCTATCGCAGCATACCACGATTACGAAATACGGCAGATGGACGTCAAAACGGCTTTCCTTAATGGAAACCTCCTTGAGGATGTCTTTACGACACAACCTGAAGGGTTTTGCGCTCCTGAAGAATCTACCAAGGTATGCAAGTTACAGCGATCAATCTACGGATTGAAGCAAGCCTCACGGAGTTAGAACATCCGCTTTCACGAAACCGTCTTCAGCTTTGGTTTTGAAAGAAATTCGGATGAATCTTGTGTATACAAAAAAGTCAGTGGGAGTGTTGTAGTCTTCCTTGCTCTGTATGTTGATGACATACTGCTCATAGGAAACGATATTCCTACTTTAACCACCGTCAAAATGTGGTTGAGTAAGAGTTTCTCTATGAAGGACTTGGGAGATGTTAGTTATGCACTTGTCATAAGGTTCTATAGGGATAGATCACGGAAGCTGTTAGGTCTCAGTCAAAGTACATACATAAACAAGGTCCTCGCTAGATTCAGCATGTCTGAATCGAAACGAGGAAGTTTACCTATGGTCCAAGGCACGAGTCTTTCTAAGACTCAAGGTGCTTCCACACCAGAGGAAGTAGAACGCATGAGAAATTTTCCTTATGCGTCGGCCATTGGATCCATCATGTATGCGATGGTATGTACGAGACCGGATGTTGCCTTTGCTCTAAGTGTCACGACTAGATACCAGTCGAACCCTGGCGAAAGCCATTGGACGGCTGTGAAGAACATCCTTAAGTACTTTCGTAGGACTAAGGATGCCTTCCTGGTATATGGCGGAAAAGAAGAGCTCAGTATTGTTGGATATACTGATGCCAGCTTCCAGACTGATAGAGACGACTTCAAGTCGCACGCAGGGTATGTGTTTTGTTTGAATGGCGGAGCTGTTACCTGTAAGAGTTACAAGCAAGATACTACCGCTGATTCCACTACAGAAGCAGAGTACATGGCTGCAGCCGAGGCAGCCAAGGAAGGTGTGTGGCTAAAGAATTTTATTACTGAGCTTGGAGTGGTTCCTAGCATCAAGAACCCTATACCGTTGTTTTGCGACAACAATGGGGCAATTGCACAAGCGAAATAACCTAGGTCTCACCAGAAGACCAAACACATCGTTAGACGTTATCACATCATACGAGAAATTGTTGCACGTGGGGACGTTGAGATTTGCATGATAGGTACAGATGACAAAGGCTTTGGGAAAGCCTAAACACGAGAGTCATACGTGGTCCATGGGCATTCGAGAAATGCTTGATTGGCCTTAGGGCAAGTGGGAGATTGTTGTATTTAGGTGCCCTAGCGGCAATCAAATACCTATGTAAGTGTACACTTTATGATGAATGAAAGGCTCTGAAGTATGTTTTATATCTCGTGTAACATAACATAGCTTCAGTCCATAGACGATAACGCTTCAGTAACATAGATGAGGACTATGATGTTCTGATTATGAGACTGTTACTTCTTGACGAAGGCTATGTCTAAAATATCCCTAGTCGCACTTTATGATAATACGGACATCATAACGTATCAAGACTAGTACGTACGAGATGAGATAGTTGCGTCTCATAGACTATAGGTATTGTGATATCTTAATCTGTACGTAGGTGCATATTATATCGATAATAAGTGACTGGATTGACCCATCTTGAGAATACTGTATGGATCTACAGTAATGTGTTTATCATTATTCTCAATTCGACCTTGCTATAACTATCCTCAGACTTGAAGTTATTACATTCTCTGATATGTGGGGCGGTATACTTTGATTCTAAAGCACCAGATTCGTTCTCATTTCTCTCATAAGATTGCATTCTCACCAGAACCAAAATCTATATATATATATATATATATAGATACATACATACATACATACATACATACATACATATATATATATATATATAGCAGGTCTAGATGGTTTCAACTGCAGGTTTTTCAAAGCATGTTGGGATTTTGTTAAGAGGGATGTCACCTCAGCTTGCCAAGAGGTCTTTTTGGGCATTCCTCTTCCTCCTGCAGCTGCCAGTTCCAATATCTGCCTTTTGCCTAAATTGGAGAATGCTCAAAGACTCAATGATTTCAGGCCTATTTGCCTTTCTACAGTGGCTTCTAAAATTGCTTCCAAATGCATCTCCAAGAGGCTGGGTACCCTCCTGCCCCTAATTATTTTAGAAGAGCAGGGTGCCTATGTGCCTGGTAGGGAAATTCTAGATCAAATTTTACTTACCAAGGAGATGGGTCATCACATCAACAGAAAAGCCAATGGAGGTAATCTTATCATCAAGCTTGATATGGCTAAAGCTTTTGATAAACTGAAATGGTCGTATTTGTTTGACATTCTCCAACAGTTTGGCTTCTGTGCACAGTTCATTAACATGGTTAAAAATCTGCTTAGCTCTTCTAAGTATTCTGTTTTATTTAATGGAAAACCATGTGGTTATTTTGGCCAATCCAGAGGCATAAAGCAAGGCGACCCACTTTCTCCCCTTCTTTTTATAATTGCTAATGTTTTCCTATTGGATACATTAACCTAGTAGATGATTTGGATGCATTCGATAAATTCCCATGGGGTGAAGTCATATGGGAAGAGTTGTTAACACATTCTCGGAGATGTGTACAATCCCTTAAAGCTCGTGGAAGGGGAAGAGTGACATTTGGAGGGTTTGTCTTTGCCTTACAGGTATGGGCATTTGAGAAATTTCCTTCCTTGAGAGAGTCGGGGCATTGTCAAATTGTGTAAGGAAGAGAAGATTTGATTCCACGTTGCCTAAGGTGGGAGATTTATGCAAAGATTTCAGCACAGTTTCTTCATGAAGCCATATTTGAAAATCCAGAGGTTCGTATTCTATGAAATTCTCTTTTAATGAGAATATGTAGTAAATCTGAATTATATTAATATTTTTTTTTATTGTTTTACACAGTTTGAAGTGTCAAAGTTTGTTCCAAGTGAGAGGGAGTTAAATGATCCTTCATTGGCATTATTTGCTAGTGAATACATAAGAAGGGGGATAGATGACACTGTGCAACATATTGAGAGCTCAGAAAAGGCTGCAACTGTAGCAAGAAATCTGAGTGTTGGTAGTGCTAAGAAAAGGAAACTTTCAACAACTGGAAATGCCCAAAACAAGCCAAAAGAGAAGGGAAAGAGAACTATTCACAGCATGAAAGGGGAATTTCTTCCAAAAATAAAATGAAAGAGGAAGAAGGAGAGTCAGAGTCAGATTATAACAATTCTCAATGACATGAAAAAAATGCAGGAAAGCCAAGGGAAAGTGCTGAAGATGATCCTTGAGTAGTTAGAAAGAAAAAAGGGAGATGATACAGAGGAGAGGGGTTTTAAAAAGATAGATGATGAAATTGTCAATGAGAATGTTGAGAGTGAAGACATGGAAAATAAAAACATGGGGAAGGATACTATTTTGGAAGAAGATGGCACTGACCATGGAGATGTGGGAAAGGATGGCACTTCCAGACATGATGACAATGATCAGTTGTCTGAAACACAGTTCAGTGATCAGTTCTTTGAACAAATGGACAAAGAAGTGAATGCTATTTTGAAAGGCACAATTGAAGGAAATGTAAGACCATTTACTCTTGTATTAAATAAGATAGTATATTGTGAATATGTGAAACTGTGTTATCATTATTATTG